CTCTTATCTTTCAAGACCTAGTGCAGACACCCCTGTCTCCAGGATGCCCTCTTTCCTTGCTCCAGGCTGGTTACACGCCATCCATTCTGCAGGACCCGTAAAGTGCTGTGCCTTCTGCTGGTCACATTGAACAGAAAGTAGCCCCATTGCTCAGCAACCCCCAGATTTGAGTCCGGTACTCACTCTAGACCATAAAATCCCTTCACACAGATTTGGAAAAGATGTCCCTTCCTCTGAGTGGACATGGGCCCAAAGACAGGGTGCAGGCTCTGATTTCAGCCCCACTTGTCCCCTCAGCCATGCAACTTTGGCAGTGAACACCCTCCGTGCCCATATGTGCTAGCCTTGAGTTGACTTACCATTTCAAGAAGATCTGAGACTTCCCCCGCCTGCCCCCACCCAGGAACTTGGAGGATCCCTGCAACTAGCCTGGAAGGTTAGGATATAATATGCATTGTCATTTTAAGAAGGGGGAAACCGAGGCACAAAGCCGTTGAGGACGTGCACAGGGCTTGCAGCTGGCCTGGAGTCCAGGTCTTTTGGCTCTAGTTCAGTTTTCCCCACTGTATTGCTGAGTAGGTTTTCTGACCCTGAAGTCAAACATCTCAGTTTCCTGCTGGCTTAGGGCTGCGTGGGCTGCAAAGATGAGGTTCCTGTACAGCTTTCCTGGAAGCTAGCATTTCCCAGCAAACTGGGGAGGAGAAAAGCCGCCACTGGGAGGTGGCACTTTTCTCTCCAAGGCCCTGCTCCACGTGACCTTCCTGTGACGGTAGGGCCTGCTGCCAGCCACAGCTGCTCCCTCTCCTCCACCTGACGATCCCTCTTAGCAGGAGGCATCTGAGTCCTGGATCCCGGCCAGCTGAGCGGGTACCTGGCAACCAGACTCACAAATGTGTGCCCGGCTTTGCAGACACGGCCTCGGGCCTGCTGAGTCGGTGGGGGGGAGGCTCATCTGTGAGTGTATGTGGGGTGAGGGAAGGAGTGTCTACCCTGCACCAGGGGACCCCCCCCAACTGCTCCTCTGGCTGTCCCCTGCCCCCGGGTTTCTGTTTCTTTCTACCCACCTCATCTGTGGGTCTGGACCCTGACAGAAGAAACTTGCTTATTCCTGAGGAGAAGGCAGTACACCCCATTAAGGGGTTGTGGGGCCATCCAAGGCCAGGCCTCTTCAGTGTCAGTTTGGGACATTTCATGGCAGGCAGGACATTGTGCCCAGCCATCATGGGAGGGCCAAGGGGATGGGGAGGCACAGGGCCAGGCATGCCCGGTCTCTCTGTGAAAACCCTGGGTGGCTTCTCCCAGCACTGCTGGCCCAGTCCCACCCACAGGCTGTGAAGTGTAAAAGCACAGGAAGGAGGGAGCCAGCAGGCCATGGGGAGAGGGACAAATGCCAGGGAGGAGACACAGACAGACCCTGTCACACATCACAGCCTGTGGCCAGGTCACCCTTGGACACACACACGCCCAGCTCTGGACTCCTCAGCCCTCGCTTGGGGCTGCGGAGATGCCCGGGCTCATCAGTTGCATCCCGGGCCCGGCAGTCAGATTATAACGGCCACTGCCTCAGGCAGGGTCCCCAGGAACTGGGGTTTGACAGCCAAGGCGTGTCCAACTTTGGTTTTCTACAGATATGTCACTTGGGATGCGGCATGAGGGCAGGATAGAGAGCCGCAGGTTGAGGGTCAGACTCATCTTGCTGGCATGAACTGGGCAGGACAAGTCACCCCCAGCTATAGACTAAATAGTGTCCCTCCAAAAATGTGTAGGTCGCAGCCCTAACCCCTAGCACCCCAGGGCATGCGCGTGTGCGTGTGACTGCCCTGAGGCTAATGCTGGGGTCCACCTGTCAGGAGAGGCCAGGGAGCCCTCGTGAGCCCCCAGAGCGCAAGAGAGGGGTTACCTGGAGCCTTTTCATCTGGATGCCTCTGCCCCCAGGGAGCTGTGACTGAGAAAATGGGAAGGTGACTTCGTTTGGAGACAGAGCCTTTCAAGAGATGATTAAAGTTAGGCCCCAGCACTTTGGGAGGCCGAGGCAACGGATCACTCAAGATCAGCAGTCCAAGACCAGCTCGGCCAACATGGCGAAACTCCGTCTCTACTAAAAGCACAAAAATCAGCTGGGCATGGTGCCGGGCACCTATAATCCCAGCTACTCCGGAGGCTGAGGCAGGAGAATTGCTTGAACCCGGGAGGCAAAGGTTACAGTGAGCCGAGATCATGCCACTGCACTCCAGCCTGGCAACAGAGCGAGACTCTGTCTCAGAAAAAAATAAAATAAAACAAAACAAGAATAAATAAATAAATAAAGTTAAATAAGGCCATTCAGGTGGGCCCTAATCCAATACAACTGATGTCCTTATAAGAAGAGACACCAGGGATGTGTGACCAGGGAGGAGACTGAGTGAGGGCGCTGAGAGAACGTGGCCTCTGCCAGCTCAGGAGGGAGGTCTCAGGAAAAACCAACCCTGCAACACCTTGGTCTTGAACTTCCAGCCTTCTGAACTGTGAGAAAATGAGCGTCTGTTAAGCTCCCCATTCTGTGGCACTTTGCTGTGGCAGCCCTAACAGACCAATACATCTTTCTTTGGGCCTTCATGGCTTCATCCATAAATACGTCCCTCTAAGAGGCTGTTTCGTGGATTAAATAAAATGATGCAGGGGAATTGCTAACCAGTGCCAGGTACTCCTGAAGCTCACATTATGTTGTCTCCTGGCTTTGGGTCAGGCCCCCCAGTTTTCCCAGTCACAGCTCCCTGGGGGCACAGGCATCCAGATGGCAAGTGCTCCAGGTAACCCCTCTCCTGCTCTCTGGGGGCTCACGGGGGCTCGCCGGCCTCTCTTGACAGGTGGATTCCAGCATTGGCCTCAGAATGGAGGGCCTGGCCCACACGTGCAAACACACATTCACACACACGCATGCACACATACACATGTTCTTACAGCGACTCCCTCAGTCCAGGCCACTGGCAAGCTCCGTCCCCTTCCTGGGAAGCAGGCCTCAGAACCCAGAGCAGGGCAGGTGCCCATTTACCCTCTGAACCCCAGCTCCACCCTAAGCCTGGGCCACACCTGGCCCACAGGGTGGTTGGGGAAACAGAATCCCCTAACCTTTCCCACCAGGCTTATGAGCCTGAAGATGGGTTTTGAAGAATGTATGGGCATCTGTCAGCACCTGTGAGATTGCACGGGCCTAGCGAGTGGCAGGGTGCTGATGGCCTGAGAGCTGGGGCATGAGGCTGTGCTGCCTAGGCCAGTCCAGGACCAACAGGAGCTTGGAAGCGGAGGAAGAGAATGGTGTCTGCATTGGCAGGGATTGGGGTGAGGGTGGTGGGGGGCAATCTGGGATCATGGCTGGGTGCCCTCGCCGTCTGGGTATTTGCCTTTTATTCAACATCGGTGACACCAACCTCCAGGACCAGGCTGCATCTGGGAGTACCCCTTGCAGCTCCCATCGTGCTGGCCCAGGTCCAGTCTAACAGGTGTTTGTTGACTGGATGAGTGAGCTGGTTGGTGCCCAGGAATTTAACTCAGCCCATTCCAGTTGCCATTCCCTGGATGCCCAGCTCAGGACCACTCATGCTGGGGCTCTGCATGAGTTCTGTGCAGGTTCCCAGGGCCTAGCAAAGCGCTGACATGTGGAAAGCACTCATGAATACCTATTTCCAATCAATGCTGAGAACAGACACAAATGGTGCAAATCTGGTGGAGAAAACAGAGGCCTCAGCCGGGTGTGGTGGCACACGCCTGTAATCCCAGCACTTTGGGAGGCCAAGGCGGCCAGATCACTTGAAGTCAGGAGTTTGAGACCAGCTTGGCCAATATGGCAAAACTCCGTCTCTACTAAAAATACAAAATTAGCCAGGGGTGGTGGCAGGTGCCTGTAATCCCAGTTACTCGAGAAGCTGAGGCATGAGAATTGCTTGAACTCAGGAGGCAGAAGTTGCACAGCAAGCTGAGATTGAGCCACTGCACTCCAGCCTGGGTGATAGAGCAAGACTCTGTCAAAAAAAAAAAAAAAAAAAAAGCTGGGGCGCGGTGGCTCACGCCTGTAATCCCAGGACTTTGGGAAGGCTGAGGCGGGCGGATCACGAGGTCAGGAGATTGAGACCATTCCGGCTAATACAGTGAAACCCCGTCTCTACTGAAAATACAAAAAATTAGCCAGGTGTGGCGGGCGCCTGTAGTCCCAGCTACTCGGGAGGCTGAGACAGGAGAATGGCATGAACCCAGGAGGTGGAGCTTGCAGTGAGCCGAGATCGCACCACTGCACTCCAGCCTGGGCGACAGAGCGAGACTCCGTCTAAAAAAAAAAAGAAGAAAGCAGAGGCATCGATAGATAGTAAAGTTTGATGGTCTCTCTTGTGAGACAGACAAGTCCAAGCCCAGAGGGCTGTGGGAGCACGGTTGGGCCAGACAGACCATGGGAGGACTGTCTGGCCCAACCTGGGGAATTAGGAAAGGCTTCCTACCAGCCTGGACAACATGGTGAAACCCTGTCTCTACAAAAAATACCAAAAATTAGCCAGGTGTGGTGGCACCTGCCTGTAGTCCCAGCTACTTGGGGGGCTGAGGTGGGAGGACCTCCTGAGCCCAGGAGGTTGAGGCTGCAGTGAGCTCTGATCACACCACTGTACTCCCACCAGGGCAGCAGAATGAGACGAGACCCCCATCTCGGGGAAAAAAAAAAAAAGGCTTCCTGGAGGAGGATGTATAGGAGCTGACCAGGCAAAGACTACAGGGAATGGCATCTCTGGGAGAGGTGACAGATGGTTCTGATCCTGAGCTGGGAATGATGGGAACCAAGGATGGTGGGAGGCTGAGGGGCAGACAGGGCCCAGGGTCCCAAGGGCTGAGGGTGGCTAAGAGTATGCCACAGGTTCTGGTAGAGGACAGGATCCCCATGGCAAAGAGAGGGTCTTCTGAAGCCACCTGGGAAGGAGGTGAGGCTGTGAATGCAGGGCTGGCTGTGCAGAGCTCCAGACCCTTCAGAAAAGGAAATGTCATTTTCAAAAGGGATTTTTATTAAATTCTCCCCACACAATGGTTCCTGCAATCTGCCACAGCTCTGGGGCGTGTCCTGTAGGGAAAGGCCCTGTTTTCCCTGAGGCGGGGCTGGGCTTGTCCATGGGTCCATGGAGCTGGCCCTGCTTGGCGCCCCGACGCGTGTCTGGCTGCTTCTTGGGGGGCACAGAGCTGCAGGGTCTGGAGGCACTGGGAGCTAAGGACAGGCTCTGGTGCAGGGGTGGAGGCCTGTCTCTTAACCCACACCCTGAGGTGCTCCTGAGATGCTGGGTCCACCCTGAGGGGCGCGGGGAGCAGCTGTGGCCAGTGCCCCTTCCTCGGCCAGTCCTGGGGAAACTAAGCTCAGGCCCGTCTTTGCAAAGACAGAGGATGGGGTGGGTGTGGGGGACTCATGGGGAATGGCCTGAGGAGCTGCGTGTGAAGAGGGCGCGGGTTTGTTGGCTGCAGCGGCCTGGAGCGCCTCTCTCCTCTCTGAGTCTGTTTCCCTTTCTGTCTCATGAAGAACATGGCCTCTCAGTGTCTCAGTGCTATGACTTGCCCTCAGGAAGTGGTCTTGGCCGCGCATCATGTTATTTTCACAACTGTCCTGTGACGTTGGCCTGGGCACGTCATGGAATGGCCCATGTCCCTGTGCTGCGTGGACGTCGCTGTCGAGAGTGCACAGCCAGAGCCGGAGCCAGATGTGTGCCTGGGGGTGAGGGGAGGCGACCCGGGAGGGACTCACAGGAAATTGGGCTCCCGCACCACCAGGTAGGGTGGGCTCCAGCCGCCGCCGCCGCCACCGTCCAGGGGCCGGTAGACAAAATGGAAGTCGCGCTTGGGCTCGCTGCGCAGCAGGTAGCCCTTGATGCGGTGCGGCAGCGCGTCGTCCGCCAGCTGGAAGCAGCGCCCGTCCACCAGCACGAACAGCCGGTGCGCCTGCGGCCGAGCCACCGCGAACTTTTCCGCGCACTGCTCGCACAGCGCCTGGGCTGGGGTGTCCGCCCGCGACGCCAGCGTCCGCGCCTGCTGCTCGGGCTCCAGGTACGACACGCAGATGAAGTCCTGCGGAGACACGCAGGGCCTGCGGTCACGGCGGGGCCCTGTGTCCCCAGGCACCCTCTTCCGGCCCAGGCCCCTCCCTGGATGGATAGCGGGTGGCGGGCGCCGAAGGGGCTGTGAGTCTGGCACCTGCGCCTTTCCAGTCTCTGCCGTGAGCCTGCAGAGGCTTCCCTGCCTGGCTTCCCAGCTGGGCCGACCGTTCTGGGAGATGAATGAAGAGGCGACTTGGGGTCCCTCCAACAAGGAGCCAGCGCGCCCCCTGGCTGCTGGTCCACAGGCTCCCCACCCTTCATTCACTCATTCATTCCCTCCCCCACTCCAGGTGAGTTCCCTGCACCCCGGGCGCAAAGCTGGGCACGGAGGGCAGCACAGACAAGCAGGGAGACGCGAGCCCCCCCGGGCATCCCATAGTGCGGGCGGGCAGCACAGTCCAGCCCTGTAGGGCTGCAAGGGCCCTGGGGCTCTGAGGAGCTGCGTGGGGTAGGGCTTGGCAAAGCGGGAGGGGACCGGGTGAAGGAGGCTGGGCGCAGTCGGGTGGGGAAGGCCCCACCCATAGTGCAGGGCGGGCAGGCCGAGG